AATGGAATGGAATAGAAAATATGAAATGGAGTAGAGTAGGATAGGATAAGATAGGGTAGGATAAGAGAGTTAGAAGGGACCTTGGAGGTCTTCTAGTCCAACCCCCTGCTCAGGCAGGAAACCCTATACCATTTCAGACAAATGGTTGTCCAATCTCTTCTTGAAAACCTCCAGGGTTGGAGCAGCCAGAACTTCCGGAAGCAAGCTGTTCCACTGGTTAATTGTTCTAATTCTCAGGAAGTTTCTCCTTATTTTCAAGTTGCTTCTCTCCTTAATTAGTTTCCATCCATTGCTTCTTGTCCTGCCTTCAGGTGCTTTGGAGAATAGCTTGACTCCCTCTTCTTCGTGGTAGCCCCTGAGATACTGGAAGTCTGCTATCATATCTCCCCTAGTCCTTCTTTTCATTAGACTAGACATGTCCAGTTCCTGCAACCATTCTTCATATGTTTCAGTCTCCAGTCCCCCAATCATCTTGGTTGCTCTTCTCTGCACTCTTTCTAGAGTCTCCACATCTTTTTTACATCTTGGTGACCAAAACTGGATGCACTTTTCCAAGTGTGGCCTTCCCAAGGCATTAATAATGTAATAATATATTAACACTTCACACCATCTTGATTCTATCCCTCTGTTTATGCAGCCTTTATTAGAGGTTATTGTAATAAACCAGTATTTCCTTGTTGGCTTTCAATCCCCCTGCAGACTAGGAGTCTGGCTCTTCATGTCCGAGATGCCTTACGGGACAGTGTCCAGCAACATGCTTTGGAAGCTCTTCTCTATCATGCACTGCGACGAAAGCCAAGATCTGGAGAAGTTTAGTTGCACCATGAAGCTGGCTGAGTGCAAGCAGAAACTCAAAGGTTTCCTTCTTCCTTTATCCTTCTTGGGTGGAAACGCTTGGTCAGGGCCAGCCTAGGTTTTGGAGCCCACAGGCGTTCGGTGCCTGCTTTGGGAACTGGTAAAGGTTCACGGCCAATGTAAGTAGTCCTCGAATTGCGACCTTTCATTTGGAGGCTGTTTGACGTGACAGGTAGTCCTCGACTTACAACACTGCATTTAGCGAATGTTCAAAGTTACTGTTGTGGTTCGCCGGCCCCCAGCTGGCTTTCATGGCTAAGGCAGAACTAGAACTCACTGTCTCCTGGTGATTGGCCTAAAGTCACCCAACTGGCTTTCATGGCTAAGGCTGAACTAGAACTCACTGCCTCGTGGTGATCGGCTCAAAGTCACCCAACCAGCTTTCATGGTTAAAGCAGGATTAGAACTCACTGTTTCGTGGTCTCAAAGTCACTCAACTCACTGTTTCGTGTCTCAAAGTCACTCAACTGGCTTTTTATGCCTAAGGCGGGATTGGTTTATAGTCACCCAGCCAGCTTTCATGGTTAAAGGAGGACTAGAACTCACGGTCTCCTGCTTTCTAACCAGACGCCTTAACCCTAGACCCATATGGGATTTCAGAATTAATACAGACTATCGTTAAATTTAGAGAAAGCGTTAGATGTATTGTATTTATTATGTATATCTGTACTGAAGAAAGTTGGAAGCCATAATTTCCCCTGGATGCTAAATGGGCTAGACATAATTGCACGGAAAAGAAATAAAAACCTACCTTTGGTGCCGCCAACAGATCCGGCCAACCTGGAGACCTTTGAGCGCTACCTGCAATCGATGAACAGCTCTGAGGAGATCTGCCTGCTGACCACGTTCGCGCAGATGGCCCAGACCAAACGGGAGGATGTTGACGAGGACTTCGTGAAAGTGGTGGTGCTGGAGATCTATGAGGTGAGCAAGGCGGAGGCGGAGGTGGAGGAGGGAATGGTGGTGGGGTGGTGGGTGGGATGATCCCTGAGGGGATTTTCAGGGGGTTGCAAGGCCAAGGTGGCAGAGTTAGGAAGGGTTTAGGAAGCAATGTTTCCCTAGGTTGAGGTTGCCCTAAGTCAGGGGTAACCAAGCTTGGGAACTTAAGACGGTGAACTTCAACTCCCAGAATTCCCCAGTCAGCCATGATGGCTGGGAAGTTCTAGGAGTTTGAAGTCCACTGTTCTTAAAGCAATAGCGATGTTATTGTTATTTCATTTCATTTATTTTATTATTTATTTTATTATTATTTTATTTTGTTTTATTTTCTTGTATTATTTTATTTGTTTTATTTTCTTATATTATTTTATTTGTTTTATTTTTTATTTAGGTTTATTTTTCTTTTTATTTATTTATTTTTTATTTATTTATTTTATTTTGTTATTTCATTTCATTTCATTTTATTTTGTTTATTTTATTTTATTTATTTTTATTTATTTTATTTTATTATTTTTATTTTATTTTATTTGTTTATTTATTTTATTTTATTTTGGTTCATTTTATTATTTATTTATTATTTATTTTATTATATTTATTTTATTTTATTATTTTAATTTAATTTATTTTTTCCTCACCTTTATTATTTTTACAAATAACTGAAGGCGGTGAACATATTCAGTCTTCCATGCTTCCGAAGTGGGTAAAATGAGGACCCAGATTGTTGGGGGCAAGAGGCTGACTCTGTAAACCGCTTAGAGAGGGCTGGGAAACTCTGGGAAGTGGTATATAAAACTAAGTGCTATTGCTATATTCAACACAACTTCCTCCTATTTTTCCCACAACAAGACTGTGAGGTGGGTTGGGCTGAAAGAGGGAGCGGCCTAAAGTGCCCCAGCCGATTTTCAGGCCTAAGGCCGGGAAAAGAACTCAGGGTCTCCTGCTGATTGGCCCAAAGTCACCCAGCGACTTTTATAGCTAAGGCGGGACTAGAACTCAGTCTCCTGGCCATTGGTGCAAAGTCCCCTAGACAACTTTCATAGCTAAGGCAGGACTTCGCCACCCTATCCTTAATAATTCCCCAGTCCTCCACAATGTCAATCATCATGGCACTTGTCAGGTCCACTGTGGTCCTCAAGCCTGAAACAAATGCAAAATTGGACATTATGAACACTTTTAAGAAGAATATGTTCAGAAGGGTATTATTAAGTCTTGGTTAAATTTTGCGGCCGAGTGTGTTTCTGAAATACTCATTTATTTATTTTTTTAAATCTCCCCTCAGGTATCTTATGTCAGTCTTTCCACAAGAGAGACTTTTTCAAAAGTTGGCCGAGAGCTCCTGGCTGCCATAACTGCTGTCCATACAAACATGATTTCTGTCCTGCTGGATCGAGTCAGGGAGACCATTGAAAGTGTCGGCATGGTAAGAATTGCCCAGATCTTCGAGCAAAGCCACAAATGAACTCAAACCCCATCTAAAGGAAAATTCTGTGGCAAGACCAACAATTAATTAATTCCTTCCTCCCTCCCTCCCTCCCTCCCTTTTTCTCCTTCCTTCCTTCCTTCCTTCCTTCCTTCCTTCCTTCCTTCCTTCCTTCCTTCCTTCCTTCCTTCCTTCCTTCCTTCCTTCTTCCCTTCCTACATCTTTTCCTTCCTTCCTTCCTTCCTTCCTTCCTTCCCTTCCTTCCTTCCTTCCTTCCTCCCTCCCTCCCTCCCTCCCTCCCTCCCTCCCTCCCTCTGTCTTTTACCTTCCTTCTCTCCTTCCTCCCTCCCTGTCTTCTTCCTTCCCCTCCCTCCTTCCATTTTTCTCCTCCCTCCCTCCCTCCCTCCCTCCGTCTTTTACCTTCCTTCTTCCCTCCCTTCTCTCCCTCCCTCCCTTTTTCTCCTTCCCTTCTTCCTTTCCTTGCTTTTTCTCCTCCCTCCCTCCCTCCCTTCCTACGTCTTTCCTTCCTTCCTCCCTCCCTCCCTCCATTTTTCTCCTCCCTCCTTCCCTCTGTCTTTTACCTTCCTTCTTCCCTCCCTTCTCTCCTCCCTCCCTCCGTCTCCCTCCTTCCTTCCTCCCTCCCTCCATTTTTCTCCTCCCTCCCTCCGTCTTTTACCTTCCTTCTTCCCTCCCTTCTCTCCCTTTTTCTCCTTCCCTTCTTCCTTTCCTTCCTTTTTCTCCTCCCTCCCTCCCTTCCTACGTCTTTCCTTCCTTCCTCCCTCCCTCCCTCCCTCCCATTTTTCTCCTCCCTCCTTTCCTGTCTTTTACCTTCCTTCTTCCCTCCCTTCTCTCCTCCCTCCCTCCGTTTCCTTCCTCCCTTCTCTCCTCCCTCCCTCCGTCTCCTTCCTCCCTCCCTCCCTCCCTCCATTTTTCTCCTCCCTCCTTCCGTCTGTCTTTTACCTTCCTTCTTCCCTCCCTTCTCTCCTCCCTCCCTCCGTCTGTCTCCTTCCTTCCTCCCTTCTCTCCTTCTTTGCTCCCTCCCTCCCTCCCTCCCTCCCCAGAAATAAAACCCCACTACCAAACCAAATAAACCATGACCTACCGGTGGCAACAATCAGACCGACCACTTGAGGAGCTCGGTATCACCCGGGCATCCCCACAGCCTGGTTAGCAAAACCATCTCTTCAGGGCCTTTTGGAAAGTATCAAAAGCCGGTGGGGTGGGTGGTGTATTTTTTCCGCCAGAACGATGTCCCACAGGAAGGGAGCCACTGTGGAGAAGGCCTTTCTCCTTGGTCCCACCAGGTGGGCCTCCTCAGGAGAGGACAACCCCTAACATTCCCCGCCTCCCCAATATGGTGGGTTGAGTAGATGCAAGGAGCCCTTAATCTGGCCTCCTGCCACGTCAGACGATAGCTTTTCTATCATTTGGAAAACGTGACATTTAATATTTTCTTCCCAGCTGACCCATTAGGTAGGTGTCTTCCTTCAAAGCACCACAAAATAAGAAGGTACCTCAAAATAGGGTCCAATCAACCCATAAATTGGTTGTGGTGCCCTCAGATTCTTCGTTGACTTTTTTTTTTTAGAAAACTTTATTAATCTTTTATATCTTTTAAAAACAAACAAAAAATATAAATACCTTGACATTGACAGTTTGTGGCATTCATCTCCTATGCTTCTATTTTGTGCATTATTTACAAATATATACAATTTATGCGAATGTAGACATTTAACCTATATGTTGCTTATCATTAATTCTTTCATCATCCATCTCTCTTAGTTCAATCCAATCCTACCATTTTTTTTTGCAAGTCCTATAACACTCAGACTCCTCTTTATCTCATAACATCAGGGTTAATTTATCCATTTCAGCACAAGTCATTATTTTTTGGATAATCAATTCATTTGGTGGTTTACTTTTATGCTTCCAACATTGGGCATAGGCAATTCCTAGCCGCCGTTAAGATATGTAATAGTATATATTTTATATTTCTCTCATATTTCTTTTTAAATATCCCCAACAAGAATAATTCCGGTTCCAATTCTATTTGTTCGTTAGTGATCTCTTGCAATCATTTTTTTTTTAAAATTTTTAGCCAGTATTTTTGAGTCTCCGGGAAGGAAGGTTCTTCGTTGACTTTCAGCGACCCAACAGAAGAGAGATTTTTTTTTTCTCCCCTATAAAGTTACGCCTTCATAACTCGACGCAAAAATTCTCTCCTCACGCTTGTCTTGGTGGGTTTTTTTTCTTTCCTGGCCAGGTTACTCTTTATTTGTTCAAAGAACTGCCGATGCGTCTCTGGAAACCGTCTGCTTCCGAAGTTGCCCTGATCCGTGACTGGCTCCTGAATTACAACTTGACAGAAGTCGAAAACAAACTCGCTTGCATTATCCTGGAAGAGATGAACTGGGGCCCTGGCGACCAGCACGTGTGTATAAAGTTTACTCCGTGAAGCAGGCGACGTCTTTAATTTTAGCTATCGCAGAGCCTCTTCAGAGTTCGGGGTCGAAACGTTGGGATCTTGGTGGTCACTGGGCTTAGTTGCCTTGCAAATGTTTCCCGTCAAATCATTTCAAATGTTATCCCTAATTTGGTAATGAATTGTTTGCAAGAAGAAAACCAAGCTGAGGGAACACCAGAATCCCAGAGTGCCTCTCCTCTCCTCTCCTCTCCTCTCCTCTCCTCTCCTTCCTCTCCTCTCCTCTCCTCCTCTCTCCTCTCTCCTCTCTTCTGTCTCT